CGCCGCTCATCGCTGGTTTCTCGTCTCGGGCTACAATCTTTGAACTGGAACTTCTGAATTTTGCGCCTGCCTCTCCGCTTCCTGACACATCCGCTTTTGGCGCCAAATACAAACCCGTGGCACGCCGTGTGAAGCCAGTCTCCGCCATCCTCCCGGAACAATTTCGCATCGTCCGGCGACACGCTCTCGACATCTTGGCGACTATGCAACCTCTGCCGACCCACCCGCCTCCTTTTGAACCTGGCGAGCGCTACACCCAGGAGCGATACGAAGCTCAGCAGCTCAACTCCGACGGTTTCCTCTGGCCAGAGGAAGAGCGTCTCGCACACTGGGTCCTGCGCGCGAACGAAGAAGCCATGGCTTGGGACGAATCGGAGAAAGGGCGGTTCTCTGCGGACTACTTTGACCCGATCCTGATCCCAACCGTCGAGCACATCCCATGGGTTTTCAAGAACATCCCTATCGCCCCCGGCATTCGGCAGCAAGTCGTTGACATTCTTAAATCCAAGATTGCGTCTGGGACTTACGAGCCGTCAAACTCGTCTTACCGCTCTCGCTGGTTCTGCGTGCCGAAAAAGGATGGCAAGACACTCCGTCTCGTCCATGACCTCCAGCCGCTCAACAAGGTTTCGATCCGCGATGCCGCCGTACCTGCCAACATGGACCAGATGGCCGAGGACTTTGCTGGTCGCGCTTGCTATGGGCTTCTCGACCTATTTGTCGCTTTTGATCAACGCACTCTGGACTCGCGTTCCCGTGACCTTACAACTTTCCAGTCACCGCTCGGAACCCTTCGACTCACCGTTATCCCTATGGGTTACACCAATGCCGCGCAGATCATGAACGGTGACGTGACCCACATACTTCAAGATGAAATCCCTGCCTTCACCACTCCGTACATTGACGACGTCCCAGTTAAAGGTCCCAAATCACGCTACGAAAAAGCCGATGGCAGCTACGAGACCCTTGGCGACAACCCGAACATTCGCCGCTTCGTCTACGAGCACTTGGCAACAATGCATCGGATCTTGCATCGCATGAAGATCTACGGCGGAACGTTCTCCGGCCCGAAGGCTGTCCTCTGCGCTCCTCAAATCGAACTCGTCGGCCATCACTGCTCGTACGAGGGCCGTATCCCGGATCGCACACGCATCAAGGCTATTCTGGATTGGCCCGCTCCTTCCTCTGTTACAGATGTGCGCTCATTTCTCGGGGTCTGCGGCGTTATGCGCGTCTTCATCAGGAACTTTGCACGGATCGCCCGACCTCTCGTGGCGCTTACACTCAAGGACGCGGACTGGAACTGGTCCGACACTCAGCAGGCCGCTTTCGACACCCTCAAGCAGGCCTTCGCGGACTCGAAGGCGCTCCGGCCTATTGACTACGAATCTGGGCGCGAAGTATTCCTCTCGGTCGACTCATCGTACATCGCGGTTGGCTTTGTTCTCTCTCAGACGGGCGCGGATCAACGGCGTTACCCCTCCCGATTTGGCTCGATCCCCTGGAATGACCGCGAGTCGCGCTACAGTCAGCCCAAAATCGAACTCTACGGACTCTTCCGCGCACTTCAAGCTGTCAAACTCTATATCATCGGCGTGCAGAACCTTACTGTTGAGGTCGACGCATCGTGCATCAAGGGGATGCTCAACAATCCTGACCTGCAGCCCAGTGCCTCCATCAACCGCTGGATCGCTGGCATCAAACTCTTCGACTTCAAGCTCACACACGTGCCTGCTACTCGCCACACCGGTCCTGACGGTCTCTCTCGGCGGACTCCGGCAGAGTCCGATGATAAGGATCGTGGAGAGGAGGCTGACGCCTGGATCGACACGGCCTACGCGTTTTCGGCCTCGACAGCTACTTCACCTGACTCCGACACTGCTGACGAACCACCACCTCAGATCCCGCGCTCCGATAAAGCTACCGCCGCAGATGCCCGCCTCGAACTCGTCGACAGCTATCTACGCGAGCCTATGGCTCAGCTCAATCTCCCGGAAGGCTCAGTCCGTGGCTTCATCCGATACGCTTCCGACTTCTTCTTCCGCGACAACAAGCTCTGGCGACGCAATCCCCATGGTGCCCATCAACGTGTCATTCCAGAACGGCAGCGCTACCGTCTCCTCCAACAGGCCCATGATGAGCTCGGTCATAAGGGACGACTTCCGGTTCGACGACACCTCCTTGAGCGCTTCTGGTGGCCGTACCTCGAGGCTGATGTTGGTTGGTTCATCGACACTTGCGACGAGTGCCAGAAGCGGCATATGCACCACCTCCACCCACCACCTACAGTCGCCTTCCCAGCCCCACTCTTCAGGAAGTTCTACTGTGACACGATGCGAATGCCAACTGCCAACCGCCTCAAGTACCTCGTCCAAGGTCGCTGCTCACTCTCCGGATATCCTGAATGGCGTGCCTTAACTCGCGAAACTGCACCTGCGATCGGACAATGGCTATTTGAAGATGTACTCTGCCGCTGGGGCGCAGTCGAAGAGATCGTTACGGACAACGGGCCGGCTTTCATCGCTGCTGTAGCGTGGTTGCGCGAGAAGTACGGCGTGCACAACATCCGCATATCTCCCTATAACTCGCGCGCCAACGGACTGGTCGAACGCCGTCACCGTGACGTCCGCGAAGCAATCGTCAAGTCTTCCAACGGCGACATGGCTCACTGGTATAAGTACGCACCACATGTCTTCTGGGCTGAACGCGTGACTACACAGCGAGCTACGGGGCACTCACCCTACTTCTTGGCGCACGGCGTCGAACCCCTCCTCCCCTTCGACCTCGAAGAAGCTACTTATCTTGTTCACCCGCCGCTCGATAAGGTCTCCACCTCCGACTTGCTCGCCGCCCGTGCTCGTGCCCTTCAGAAGCGGGAAGCCGACCTCGAAGACATGCGTGATCGGGTTTTCGCAGCACGCAAGAAGTCCGCCGAGCGTCATTTCCTAAATCACCCACAACAGTACTCGGATACGACCTTCTCCCCTGGCGACCTCGTGCTGGTACGAAACACGCAGAACGAACGCGATCTCGGTGGCAAGCACAAGCCTCGGTACTTCGGACCCATGGTGGTCGTGCGACGAAACTCTGGTGGCGCCTATGCTCTCGCTGAACTTGACGGCTCGCTATCTAAGCTTCGCTTCGCCGCCTTCCGCCTTATTCCCTATCGCGCACGGTCTCGCATCTCTGTCGACATCACCCACCTTCTCGAGCTCTCACCTGACGAAATTGACTCCGCAACCCGTGAAGACGACAGCGCACCTCTCGAATTCCCGCCCGAAGAAGAGCCCGAAGACGAATAGATGCCGCGCACCCAGACTCTCCCCATACCGTTCTCCCTTCCGACAACCTACCTTATTCACTGCTATCTAACATGACGTCTCTTAACACTTTGGCTTAATTCCTGCGGGCGATAATTGCGGCTCCCTCGACCTGGTCGAGTTACCATCAGCGCTGCGCGCCCACCAGCGCTGGTCCGGAGCATCTTCTTTCGCCTTCAAACCCTCCATATCGACTCTATCTATTCCCCTCGGTCCCTATCCCTACCATCCTCACCTCGTCTCTATCCACCATTTTCCGCCATCTCGTCGCAACAATCTCGGCTCTCGGGGCTTCTTACCCTTTTACACCTCGTCGTTCACCTCCCACCTCTCGGCGCTTCACTCTCCCGCCTCGCCCATTTCGCATAGTGACCAGGAGGTCACTACATCAACTTGGGGGGAGATGTAGCGCACGCTCGCCGACAACGCACGCACAGCCACAACGCGACAGCGCATTGTCTCTTGCTTATCATCCACGACTGCCTGCTCGTCTATCGCACACGCAAAGCTACCGCGGCCACGAACAACACAATGCAACGTCGACGGGCCAACATACCATCAACCATGCAAGATGACCGGGGGCGCCACACGCAGAACAACGGGCCAGCGGACGCGTTGCGAGGCGTCAAGGCCACGAAGGAGTTGGGGCGCGCATTGCGCACGACGACGGCCACAACACCGGGGGCGATAGGTATAAATAATGCGACTGTATGTACTGAGTAGCCAGCGAATCCTAGCTTCCTT